CGTGCCACGCATCCTGGAGGAGTATGGTACTAATTGGACGGTCCGGACTTTCGAAGAAGTAGGATGGGGTATCGACTCCGATCATGTTGCATATTACGAATGAAAACGACCCTATTCGAAGGAATAGTTCAAAGGGGACTCTCAACCCCGACCTTATTCGTAAGTCCCGCAGGAGCACATTATCGGTGGAGGTATTTATACTTATGGGGAAGTGAGCCGCAAGGCAGCTTTTAATAGATGTCAACTGCGACCTTATTCACATCCGAGGGAGTACATTATTGGCCAAAAGAATTACGCTTCCGGAGAAAACGAACCGTGAGACAGTCAGACTAGATACATATAGAGAGACTCGCCCAGTCTACGTTACACATCCGATGGAGTACGCTGTTCGGCCTGGGGAATTAGATGATGGGGTCCTATCCTGGCTGGGACATGTATCCGGGAGAGTACAATGCTTGCTTAAGACAGGAGGATAGACATTCCTGGGGAGAAATGATAGCGTCGCCACTGGTGTACATCTCCCCGGAGGAATTTTACTTCTTGCTTCGTGAGGCACTAGAGAAGGAGCTGTCTTGCCCCCACTCATCGGGGTCATGGGCGAGGTTATAGTCTTATGTGACCATGGAGATCGACATAAGACAATGACGTGGCTAATACACCAACCCAAGGACCAGAGCTGGCGCCGTTGGACGGATGAATAGATGTTCCTTGTGTAAGATAACGACACAGCGCTAACGCAAGGGGGAGTCACTACTCGAATGCAGCTGGTGCGGAGTAGGGCATTTCCCAAGGGCGATACCTCGACTCCCTTACTGCCTGGACAGTCTTCGCGTTATGCTTACGCGGAATTTTATGGGTTTTAAGAACGTGCTTGTGACATACCCCAAAGGGGAAGATGTCCGAAAGTTATTAGGAAGAGAAAGCCTGTGAGTCGGCGACCTCAATTCCTATTGTGCCTGAGTGGCAAGCATGTCCTAGTGAGGAGCATGCTGATTTGTCGCTCAGCCCATTTGTAGGGGCTGGCGGGGAAGATCCGGAGATCTTAGAGGTATGAGCCCTAGAATCCCGGGGGGATACCATTCCGGAGGACGAGCAAATTCGCAAACCACGAATGGGACTGGATGGGACTGGAACGACTGCCTGCCGCGACACTGCATCGCCATCCATGATGCCTATATCCTATAAGGGTTCTAGGGCAACCTTTCTCGAATGGTGGTCGACTTTTATCGATTCGTAGGCAACTGCCCCAGCCATTTGCACCCTTTCAGGTGGAGACTCCTCTGTGCCTACCAAGTCCTCTCGGACTTGTCCGGAGTTCACGTTTACGGCTCCACGGTGCTGTTATCCTATCAGCTCTGGAACCTGAGCGTCGACGCCCTCCAGTACACCTTCCACACGAGGGACGAGTGTACTACCACCATCCACGAGGACCGCTCAGGGAGCCACAACTGGTGCAAGCTGTAGTTCTTCTTGACGGTGCCTTCGGACATCAATGTCCCGCTCACCAGGTGCCCACGGGATAAGACTGCTGACCTTTCGAACCCCCTTTTGATGTCTACTCTGACTGTTAGGGCTGATTTAACGGTTTTCTGTTTGTCAGGTTCTGCGGCGACGTCGGCCTTCGAGCAGGTCAAGCTAGACCGACTACTCGAGATAGATGAGCGATTCTGGTCATTCGACTTCCTGCACTCTCTGCCGAGCATTGAGGCGAGCTTGTTCGTCCTCCCATCCCACATGACATCCCAGGTAATGACTTCGACTCTTCTGCTTCTAATCCTAAGCTGGCCCAGCGAGACTTGCTTATCAATTCTGCCTTGATTGATTCTCGAGACCGGATCACAGAGATCTGGGACCTTTATACCCCATACAGCCGCCTGCCCTTCCCCCCCCCCACGAGGTTTTTGTGGGCCGTGCAGAGGACACCTGTCCAGACACCACGCCAAAGGCCTCGAACCAGCTATCCCAAATGGTCCTCTTCCGTCCGCCCCGCACACTCCTCTTCAGAGTCTGAATCAACTGCCAGCGGTGGGGGTCTGAGAGATTCTGATGCCGCATAGTATTTGGGGACCGTCAAGAGGTACAGGACCATGCAAAATGCCACCCCGGTTCCTGCTGCGCCGGGCTCGCAGAAAGCGACGAGCGCCTCTTCGGAGTCGGAGCTGATGTTTGTGCCTCCTCCTCTAGCTGCTCCCTCAACTTGCGAGCTCAACGGATGGTGGGTATCGCCTTGGAGCTCACGTAGTCGCTAGATGCGGTAAGCTACCTCTTTGGGATTTCTCCCTTTTACTCTTTCTGATTTTACCTTTGACTCACCGGTTTCTTTGCTTCTAACAGAGCCAGCGCTCACTTGAGAAGTTGGAACACGAGCTCCACGCGGCCAAGCATCGCGAACGCGGCCTTGCCGACAGGGCCAGCGAGCTCCAGGCCGAACTCTTGGTGACCCAGGACCAACTCGCCAAACCCCAAACTTCTGCTTGGGGGGAAGATCTTAGCGCGGAGATGGAATGCCTATCCTTGACGTTGACTGACAGCCAGCGGGATCTGGAAGCTCGTCACTCGGAAGTGAAAATGCTCTGTCGAACCCTCATGGTGTACCGAGGGTTCGCTCTGGGGGGCCAAGTAGACCTGGCGCTGATGGCTGCTAAGGCTTTCTCGACGAGCCAAACCACGATCTGCATGCTCAGGCAGGAGCTCGACGAAGAGCAACGATGCGGCAGGCCACGGAGGGCATTCGCTTCAGGGGCGGCTAGAGGCGCTAGAGGCGCAGGCCCTTCTCCATCGACGCGATCTTCACGCCTGCCAGGTTCTTAGAAAGAAAAAACTTTATTTTGGGGACTCGTGCCCCTTGTAAATTTTCAAACCGGGATCGATGGCCGTTTGGGCCTGTTTGTTTTTCTTTAAAAAAGAAATGCACTTCAGTTTGCTTCATATGTATTTGTTCATTGTGCATTCCTTTCGTGCTTTGCTTTGTTTTGTGAATCTGAAATCTCGGCTTCAGGACCAATATAAGCAATGGTCTTGAGGCGTCGATTTGGTTGAGTAGGTTCATGGCGTGCATGCCTTGCATACTTTCGCATAACTAACTTGTGTGTACCGCTTCCTTCGTGGAACGCTCGCCGGTGATTCCGCCTCCTTTTAGCGCCAACTGTTCGGGAGAAAATTTCGGGATACCATGTGGGGGTGTGTGATTCGTCCAGGGGATGGAGCTGTGACTCCGAGTTTCGTTCCCTAGGGAGAAAAACGGCGAGTCATTCCGGGGTGGAAGCCTTCGGTGTCTGGGTGATGGGATGATCATCGTGTCTAATCCTGCAAACACTCAAGAAAAGGTCAGTTGGGCCTTTGGGAAGACCGAAAGAGGGTTTTCTTTCCGAAGGTTCTCCGACGCCCAAGTCAGTGACGTCCTACTGGGAACAAATTCTCAGGAGGGGTGTCTCTACTGGTTTAAGTGAGAGGTCTCGTCCAAGGATCGAGGCTTTTTTCTGTTTTCGGGTGTTTCGAAGGGGTTTCTACACGATAAAAGAAGATGGAGCGAGTATGAAGGCGAGGTTCCGAGTTAAAAAATAACTTAACCTGAAAGGCATTCACCCGAGAAGAACATGGAGTTCACCTGTGATCGTGCTGCTTGCCTGAGCCGACAGATCTATATACAAATAGTTACCTCCTACAGAGGGGTTTTCTCCGATCCGGTCAGTCGATCTCCTTCTGCATGGTGATCTCCTCCTATTTATACTCGCGATCTCCTTGTCCTGTCTTTTTCACCCGCTGCGCTAGGAGAACAAGTGAGGGTAATGATTCTTGTGTGTTTGGGGAAGCTCGCCAACTGTCCAGGAACAATACGCGGGAGTAGGTCGGTCGAGCTAGCGTGGGGTGTGTCAATGTTTAGGGTAGCCTAAGGTCCACATGTCGGGCTCTCTCGATCCAATAAAATCGGTTCCACAGAAGATGATGAAGCCGAAAAAGAAAAAGTTGAAAAAAAAAATCAGGATGATATACAAAGTATAATTAAGAAAAATAAAGAATATGAATAAAATGAAGATGAATAAGAAGTAAAAAAAAAAGTGATAAAATTAGAAAAAAAAATTGGAGGAGATGACGAAAGCGGCGATAAAAAAGAATAATTCATAGAAGAAGAAGAAAATCGATAGATAAAAAAGACAAAGTAGAAGAATGGATGTGTACTTTTCTAAAAATTCAAGAAAGACATTAAAAAGGTTGTTAAATCTACAGAGCTATTTATCTGTATTGATCTAGAAATATGTATTTTAGAATAGTTAAATTCAACCCTTTTTTAATATTGTATGTATAAATTTGGTATGAAAGTTGAAAAGTGCGCTACAGCTACAAATTTTAAATATGTCAAAACAAAGACAAAATTATAGTATATGGTACTGTCTATTTTTTTCCAAATGATATCGATTTTTTATTATGTTTATGCTTACACATGGTATAGACGGCCTAACTATCGCCAAACTATTCAAAGTAAAATAAGCTATTTATTTAATATATTTATGAAAACAAAAAAAATAAAAAAAAATCAAAAATATTGTATCAATGAAAGATTGATATAATAATATCCGCAATGTTTGGGAGGATTGAACTATTTAAATAAATAAGATAATAAGAGATTTTTTTGTTTTTGGTCAAATATAATAAGAGATTTCTATCTCAGTTTTTTTTTTGTCGGTAAAAACTGTTACTTAGATTAATAAAACAAGCATATAAGTTAAAAAATCCATTTAATACAACAGTCACTGCAGTGCTGTCTAGCATATTTTGCCATCTTATCCACTTCTTCAAGTAAACATCTCGAAGAATATTTAAATAAAAAGAGACAGATGAGAAGGCAAGGATGTCATGCAACAAGATTGCAATGGAGGTTAAAGAAATTTCTAAGGAATAATCACCTCCATTATGAGATTGCCGGAATTCATATAATATCTTGCAGTCACCAACAAATGTTATATGAGTATATCCGAAAGCATGAAGACGTTGGACAGCCATTAACAAGTCCATCGCTTCTGCTTCAAGCACTGTTTGAGTTGGGGATATAGAAGCACTTCCATGTAGCAGTTGGACACCTTCTTTGCTGAATAAGGACCATTCAATACCTGCTCACTGAGAAGTGGGATCCAAGACGCATCAACAAGACAGTAATAGGCTGAGCGTTCGTCAACAATGTCAATAATCGCAAGGGTATTTGCTGTTGACATAGAGGCTAAGGTTCCAGAAGATTGCAAGGCTGTAGTAATGGCTTCTTCCCATTGCTGTTTGTCCATAAAAGCCATTCAAATAGTATGTGTTATATGGTCTCGCTGATGCTGAAAAAGCAATGCATTCCTCATCTTCCATATTCGCCAGCCTAAGAAGAAGACAATAGTTTCAGATTGAGATTTCATATGAGTTAACCACAGTTGTAAATTTTGCATAAGAGTATTCTACAGAAGAACATCTGATTGTAGCATAGTGGCAGTGGCTAACTTCCAAATCTCCTTTGTAACTCGATATTGAAACAGTAAATGATTTAGCGTTTCAACATGATCAGCACAAAAGGGGCAACTAGAATCAGTCAGTAGCTTTCTTATTCGCAGATTATCAAATACAGGAAGACTATTATGAATTACATGCCACCAAAAAAGGCGAAGTTTTGGTGGAATTTTAGTCTTCCATAAAATCTGACATACCTGTTTGGCATCATCGAAGAGGAAGCTAATCTTATTTTCATTTATTGTTCTTGCGATTGTGAGTTGCTGCTGGAGATAGTGGCCAGACTTGACCGTATAATTGCCAGTGGTAGTATATGACCAAGTTAGAACATCACGTGCAGAGGATACACTCGGTCGTATTTGCAAAACCCTGGAGATATCTTCTGAATCAAGATAGGTTGACAAGCGATCATAGTTCCAGTCACAAGTGTGATGATTAAGGAGATCAGCTACCTAAAGATTATGAGTGAAAGCAACATTCCTGGGATTGGGCGGACAAGGATGCACTGTTGGTAGCCAGTTATCTTTCCACACTTGAATCTGATCTCCTCTGCCCACAAGCCACCAGCTTCCTGCTTTTAACAAAGGCTGAGTTTGTAAAAGACTCCTCTAGGCATAGCTAGATGTGGCATCCGTAAAATTCGTATGGCAAAAATATTTGGCTTTGAAAACTAGAGCCAACAACGATGTGGGATAGTGGAGGATTCGCCAAGCCTGCTTCGTAAGAAGAGCTAAATTAAAATCATGTAGATCTCGTATGCCAAGGCCACCGTCCTTCTTAGATGCTGTGATCTTGTCCCATGCTATCCAGGGAATCTTGTGTTGGCCTTTGATGCCGGACCACCAGAAGCTACGCATGACAGAGGTAAGTTTATCAAAGACACCTTGGGGTAGCATAAAACAAGACATTGAATATGTAGGTAAGGCAGTTATGATAGCTTTTAGTAAAACTTCTTTACCTGCTTGGGAAAGATATTGTTATACCAACTATCCATTTTATTTTGTACACGCTGTAAAATATAGTTGAAGATGTCTTTCCTCTTACGGCCAATATGCTCCAGTAATCCAAGGTATCGTCCTAGTCCCCCAACATTTTGAATGCCTATTTTTTTTTTTGTCAACAGCCTCGTATCCTAGAATGGTTCAGGGATCCAAACTGGGGGATTTGAGTTTATATAGTTTATAGTGTGAAGGTAGTCGTGAGCACTCCCTGCTAGCCTGTCTGCCCTCTTGTTTTTAGCGCGTGGGATATACTTGATGGAGAATGAAGTGAATTCTTTCCTGCTTCTTTCGAACTCCTCCAAATGTAATGTGAATGCCGACCAGTCTTCTGGTTTGGACACCATCTTCACCAGTTCGAGACAATCTGTAATAAAGACCGTCTCTAATCTTTGTGCATCGAGCATGCAATGCATGGCCCATATCAGTGCCTCCAGTTCCATGTGTAGTGGGAAAATACTCCATCGAACATTTTTTGCCCCCATAAATGTGCTATCCGTCTCTTGTCCTTGATAAAACCACTCAAGTCCCGTATTTGGAAAGGTCTTTTTCCAAGATTTATTCGTTGCATATATTAGTTCCAAATCTCATGTAGTTTCCGATTGTGGTATACGATGATGTACCGGTTGATCTTCCCGAATACCTGTTTTTTCGTTGATATATGACTAAAAAAACTTGATTAAATTCATTTATTAATATTATATATTTTATATAAATAATTGTAAATTGTTTGCACACCTAGTAACAAGTTTTTTGTGTTACTGCATTAATAATTTCGTTTTGGACAATAAAAGCCCAAAACAAAAGCCCAAAATCGATAGCGATGACGACAAAAGCCCAAATAGCCTCGTCGCCGAATCACACATAAACGTCACAGATAACCCTTTACTCCAAAATCCCTCTGATCCCAACAACTAATCTGGAGTTAAAAATGTCACAATCAATCGTTAATTAAACTGAATTGCCAAAAATCACAATTACAAAAATAAAACTCGTGAAAAGAAAAACGACTAATGTCAAAATTGTAAAAGATATAATTTCAATTCATGACTTGCATCGCGGAGAAACAAAATCACTCTCACTCATACTTTATCATGATCATCGACCCAACCGCTTAAACCTCTCTCTCATCGCTAATTTTCAGAATCCATGGCGAAACCAGCGTCGCGTCTGGTGCTGCCTACGCTTCTACTGGTGTTCTTCATCTACGGCGTTACTCCGGTTATATCCGACGGCTCCGATCACCGTTACAAAGTTGGTGATGATGTTCCGCTTTATGCCAACAAAGTCGGGCCGTTTCACAATCCGAGGTGTGTGCAAATCTATTCAGATCTGAGCTTCTCGTTTTCTGAATTTCGTTTTCCATTGCATGGAGATCTCTCCGCTCTCCGGGTTTCTGATTCAAATTGGTTCAAAATTCAATTTGCGTCCCTAACAGTCTCGAGCTAGGATTCGTCATGATGGACTTTTTCTTTACCGGAAACGATTTTGTCTATATCATTTCATGCGATTGAATTATTCCTCTCGTTAATGTGGTTGGGTGTTAATGTAGTGTATAAGCTTCTTATGTAGAAATCTTCTTTGGTCCATCCTCAAATGCTTAAACGCGGTCAGATTGATCAAATGCTATCGGATTTTGGTGATCCACTGACTCTGGTGTGTTAGTTTGAACAATTACTATCTTCCATTTTGCGTTCTTTTGAATGTTATTGGGACATGTTAATTTTGCTTTTGACCTTTTGTAAGTTGACTTGTGAATGTAGTTGGATGTTAATGTAGAGTAAGCCTCTTATTTAGATCGTCTTTGATCCACAGTTTAAGCAAATGACTGGATATTAAGAGAAACAATCCACGCTTAAAAGGTTAAAATGCAAGCGGATTTGGTGATCCACTATGTCTCTTGGGTTTATTTGATCTATTACTATCGTACTTTTTGTTTTTAGTATGTATTGGTGGAAAACATTGTTTTTTTCTGAGCTTTTGTAATTCCCTGGGATTAGCTAACCATTATTTTTTTCTATGCATTGCAGTGAAACATACCGATACTTCGATCTACCATTCTGTTCATCAGGTATGTACGGATGCTATATTACTTAGTTTGATAGGTGGATTTTTGTACTTCATATAGCTAAGGATATATATATTACAGCTCCGGTTAAGGAAAAGAAGGAAGCTCTTGGGGAAGTTCTCAATGGAGACCGGTTAGTCAGTGCACCCTACAAACTTGAATTTTTGGGTGAGAAGAACTCTGAAGTTGCATGCAGAAAGAGGTTGACTAGAGAAGACGTTGCTAAATTTCGAGATGTGATCTCGAAAGACTACTACTTTCAGATGTATTATGATGACTTGCCCATCTGGGGATTCCTGGGAAAAGTTGTCAAGGATGGAAAATCTGACCCATCCGAGTACAAATATTATCTCTTCAATCACCTGCAGTTTGAGATCTTCTATAATAAGGACCGTGTTATTGAAATCATTGTGAGAACAGACCAAAACTTCCTCGTGGACTTGACTGAGGACAAGGAAGTCCAAGTGGATTTCACATACACAGTTCGGTGGAAGGAAACAGAAATTCCATTCGAGAAGAGGATGGAGAAATATTCACTGGCTTCCTCGATGCCGCATCACCTGGAAATCCACTGGTTCTCGATCATTAACTCATGTGTCACAGTTCTTCTCTTGACCGGTTTCCTTGCAACTATTCTCATGAGAGTCTTGAAGAATGATTTTGTTAAGTAAGATATTAGCTTTAGTGCATAAGATAATTGAATTTTGTGACTTTTAATATATCTAGTAGCTTACCCTCTGTAGTTTGTGCTTAATAGGTATGCGCATGATGAAGAAGCGGCTGATGACCAAGAAGAGACTGGGTGGAAATTGATCCATGGTGATGTGTTTAGATTCCCAAAACACAAATCCTTGCTGGCTGCAGCCATTGGTTCTGGGACACAACTGTTTACACTGTACGTTTTCACATAAAGTTTTGGTGCGTTTTCGCGCATGCTGTTTTCTTTTCAGTTACTAACACACACATCTTTTCATTTGTATGCAGGGCTGTTTTCATATTTATGCTTGCATTAGTCGGTGTCTTTTATCCTTACAACCGTGGAGCATTGTTTACTGCATTGGTTGTCATATATGCACTCACTTCAGGGATTGCCGGATATACTGCTGCTTCTTTCTATTGCCAGCTAGAAGGAACTAATTGGGTCAGTATGGATGCCAGTTTAATGGTTTTTGTTTGTCTTAGGGCTCATTTTCTGATCATGTCTCAGTAGTCAGCCAAATAAATATTCCCCCGTTTTAGCATTCACTATAATCATCTGGTATAGATCCTGAGCATTTGATAAACATGACTGTCTACACTACTTAACTGATATGCATTGTATAAAGCAGTTAAATTGGGTTAGCATTTAACACCAGCTTTGCATTAGGCATGATGAAAATTTTCAATGATGTTAGGGCTATTACGTACTCATTTACTAGCTTTCTGGAGTATGCCAATATCATTTTTATGAAAATATGTGTATTGTTGAGGTCGTCTAACCTTACAGGCCATACAAGATTATTTAATTTTTTTAGTTTTATACCATTTTTTCATGCTGGATTTTGGATCAGAGTTCTGGACATACATTTTAACCAGTCTAAGGACAAGCCACGGCTCATCACCTGTTTCTTGTTCTCATTTGCAGTTGCTTCATTTTCTAAGATTTTAATTATGTTGTTCTTATTGCTCCAGACAAATGGCTTTCTACAAATTGATTGAACAGTTTTTACAGTTCAATAGATTTTAATTAAGAAAGATGATATCGATTGTCTTGGCAGGTTAGGAATCTTATGCTAACGGGAAGCCTCTTCTGTGGACCTCTTTTACTCACTTTCTCCTTCCTTAACACTGTTGCGATTGCTTACCAAGCCACTGCAGCGTTACCATTCGGGACAATTGTGGTTATCTTCCTTATCTGGGCATTGGTTACTTCACCGTTATTAATATTGGGAGGTATCGCAGGGAAGAACAGAAAATCCGAGTTTCAAGCTCCTTGCCGTACCACAAAATACCCAAGAGAGATTCCACCATTGCGCTGGTACCGGAGAACACTTCCCCAGATGGCTATGGCTGGTTTTTTGCCGTTCAGTGCCATTTACATCGAGCTTTACTACATATTTGCCAGTGTTTGGGGTCACAGAATATACACCATCTATAGTATTCTCTCCATCGTCTTCCTTATTCTCGTCATTGTCACTGCTTTCATCACCGTTGCATTGACCTACTTCCAACTTGCTGCTGAAGATCATGAGTGGTGGTGGAGGTATGAGATTTTCTTTTCTCTTTCTTTTACTTCTGTTTTATTTATCTTGTGGTAGTTTCAGGAACTATATCTTAGTAAGTTTCCAACTAACTGAAACTACTTCTCTAGAGATTTTCTTTATACTCTGATCCTGTTTATTAGATTAAAATTTATACGAGAACATATAGAAATTGTCTAGTAGTAACGATATTTGATTCTATGCATATGAAAGTCTATAATGTTTTTTGGTATGTGATGGTTTAATGACATTGATTGATCAATCAGTGTTTTAGCCTAAAAAGAAAATCCCATATTTGAGTTTATCTAATGATTTTTAATCTTTCTATGCATCTCTGTCTCTCTTTCTTTCTTCTGCATTTGAAGATCATTTCTATGAGAGTTCTTTATACTCTTTCTGGTCCTGTTGATTAGGTTAAATTTATCCAAGAACATATTCAAATTGTTCTAGTAATAACAATACTTTGACTCTATGCATATGAAAATCTGTAGTTCAATAATGTTTTTTGGTCTGTGATGGTTTCATGGCATTGATAGATCAATGTTTTAGCCTAAAAGAGTTTATCTATTAATTGTTAGTCTTTCTATGCATCTCTGACTCTTTGTTTCTTCTTCTGCATTTGAAGATCATTGCTATGCGGTGGATCAACAGGATTATTCATTTACGCATACTGTTTGTATTACTACTATGCACGATCAGATATGTCAGGGTTCATGCAGACCTCCTTCTTCTTTGGTTACATGGCTTGCATCTGCTACGGTTTCTTCCTCATGCTCGGTGCAATCGGATTCCGTGCTTCCCTTTTCTTCGTCCGTCACATTTACCGATCCATTAAATGCGAGTAGCTTCTACTCTCTACTGGTGTAGGTAAAGACAATCATATTCTGTTTTTGTCATTCGCTTGTTGGTTTTAGATTCTACAAGTTACGTTTTTAATGTTTTTTGCTTTGATGGTGGATGATGCAGAGGGAAATCGATCGGGTGAATTTGTGCTTTTGTTTTCGGTAATATTCGTTTTCTTCAGATCTTTCATTTTTTTTGGTATTCTGGTATATTTTTCTTTCCCTCAACATCAACTTTTCATTAACTAAAGATTGTTTACAAACATAATGTATTTACCCAACTTGGCATTAAAGAGAGCTTAGGTACATAATTCATAATTGATGAAACTCGTTGATATTTTGGTAAAAAGATTGAGTTAAGGCCGTACCTCATTTTCTGAAAGAGCTTTAATCAGCTCCTTATACACAACTCGATATTCCAGGCACATCTTGGGGTTTTATGGAGTTCGAATTTTGTTATGTAACAAAAAATGCATTTAGCATCTTAAAAACATCATTAACTATCCAAAAATTCAAGTAATTTGAATATACGATTTTTTGGGAATTCAATTGTATATTGTTATAAAAAGTTGTGGAATACTAATTTTTACTATACATCTTTGTAAAGCTCATATGGCTTTTACTATATATGTAAAAACAAGTTATCCAACAGAAGATTTTTACTCTATCTAGTGCTAAGTGCAAATCAGCAAATGTGCATAACAACTTATGAGTATAACATTCTTATCTTAACTTTTTTTTTAATGTTCATTTCTGTATCTTACCTCCGAAGAATAGTTCGGAAACGTAGCACGGTTACAAATCTAATAAAATAACACACTTCACCACATTGTTTTTCTTATAACATTTTAGTCTTTTTGTTTACAGATAACAAAAAAACTTCATATATATATTGGGTAGTTGTGAGTTGTGACCAAACATTAGATGAAATGCTTCAAACCTCCATCTTATGAGATCCTCTCTTCTGTGCAGCAGATTTGATAGTCTTGAGCGATTCTACGATATCATCACATAGTTGATGAGGATCTGGAATTGTTGTTGTATCCACAGCTAGATTAATGATAATCTTGTTCACGTAGCTTATAAAATGGATATTGAGGGCCTTGTTAAACATCAAACAACAACCGTAAAACAATTAGTATTCATTTCATCATTGTTTCATATTTTTTTAAGATATCAAAACTAAAAATATATGCTTACTTGTGATCCAACTAATGCACTTCCTGCTACATATGTAATTGGATGGCCATATAAGCTTATTTCTTCATCGGGACCTCTCACATTTGAAAATGCCAATGATGTGTGACCAAATATCCTTTTTCCGAAAGCTTCTACTGCCTATAATTTTTTTTCCAAAGGAAATATCAGTAATAGGCATTATAATATTAATGATTAGAGTTTTTTTTTTTTTGGGTCAATAATGATTAGAGTTTATATGAGTTTTTTTCACCTTTCCTCCAAAGAATTTCAAGGTGAATTTAATGATTCCATAGAAAATAAATGCTTCCAAAGAGATTTTCTTCCTATCCATAGTAGTTTTGGCTCGTCGTATGTATTCCAAAGGATCATTCTCTGATTTTATCCATAGTGGAAATATAATGGCTCCTATAAAGTTTCCCCATCTACACTTTGATCCCTTCGTCATCATATCAGCCAAATCCTACAATTCTCATATTTTATTAAACTTTAAAATTTTAATTACTTGAACAAAATATATTATTTTGTATCTGTACAATTATATCGATGATCACCTCAATATTCGCTGCTGGTCTTAGGTTTATAGCTACAGCCCCACGAACACGGATTTTTCCTAAGATTTTTTTTTTCTGGGACATTGTACATCCATCTAGCAATAATTGTCAAATATTAGAACTGATGTTAGTGATGTATTAACAATAGTTGACAAAAAGAAGAGGGATGTATTAACAATACTATGTCTTTGGGAATTATATAACTAAATAAGTTTCAGATATAATATGTTACAGCGTTGAACACACAAAAAAAGATAATATTTTAGTTGCTTAATAGTTACAACTAAGTTACAACTGTTCGTACAAGAAGAGAGTTGATCTTGTAAACAATGAGCCATTTAAACAAAAAACCCATTTCAAATCAGGATTGAAATTTCTTAGTATATATGACATTTTGAAATACTAGGAAGAATTTAGAAATATTAATAATAGTCAACATCAAAAATTATTGCTATACTTTACAGTACAAATTAGAGTGTACATATGATGGAGTGCTTGAATAACTTTTATTTGCAAAACCTACCGTTTTACTTATGAGATATCTAATTAATATCAATCAAATAATAATTGTTAGAAGATAAACTTATTTCAAACACTATTTTCTTTCGATTGATCGGTTCATCTTCATCAATTTTATAACATAAGTTATTAAAAACTAATATTTGAGTTTTGCTAAGTTTGCTAACAATATTTAAAGGATAATATTAGTCATGCAAGGAGAAGGAATTTGAATTTACGATATTGTGCACTCAAATATCTTGAAAGGCCAGCTTGTGTCATTCCAAGAAGAACATCATTCACCTTCTGCAAAAAATTATAAATATAATGAAGTTTTAAGTGTAAGAAACCGAAATCAATTATCAATATAAAGCAAAGTAACAATAAATATATACCATGTTCATTGCGTTCTTCACTAATTTGACATCATCAAAACTTATTATCCGATGGATAACCTTCCAAGATTGTATTCCATCGTCAGGATTCCCCAGTAGAGGATTTTTAGTATCACGCAAGAAACATAATGTAAGCATTAACTTAGAAAACTCAACAATGGTGGTGAAGGTGACTCTTATCATAAACCAAAATCCAGCAATCAACCACCAAGCCGAAGCCATCGAATCAACGGTTTTTTTTGTAAACGAGATAGTAGAAATTAGTGCGTCAGGGTCAGATATTTTTCGTGAACAAGCAAGTAAAAGAGACATAAGAGACATTCCATCACCAATTGAATGATGTATTTTGGCTAGAAGCACAGATTCTGCTTTTGATGTCTTTATGTTAAGTAAATGAAATTCCCAAAGAGGTTTGGACATGTCCATTGGAATATTTGAAATGGTTGAAGAATAGTCTTCTAGGAACTGATCAGGATTTTCAATATTGGTGTAGTCAAGATCTGGAATAGTAATATGATCTTCTACTCTGATAGTAACAGGAATCCAGACCGGTTCTCCGTTTTTCATATAGCTTATATCCTGAAATTTTCCGTTCATGATATAAAAAAAAGATTGAATTAGTTTACTTTTACATGTATGTACATATAAAGAGAGAGGAACAAAGTTAAATTCTTTGATTTTATGAAAAGTTTTGTACGTCCTTGTGGGAACCCAAAAGGAATTATAAATTAGAATGTTCAACATAAGATATAAATAGACATTTTCAATCAATCTTCAAGGAAAGTGAAATTAAATATACACCGAAACAGTTGGATTGTTTCGTATATATTAACCTTTTTATTAGTATTGAAGATAAATTATATAAATTATATTATTTATTCTTTTGCGTTTTACTAAAAGTAAAAAAGATCAAACACAAAGGGTGTAATTTATTTTCATTTAAGGTTGTATTATTTCTTTTTCCAATCTATTTTTGCATGCTTTTGAATATATATATATATATATATATAATGAATATTTTGTCTAATTTTCAAATGTAACAACAATTAGAGAAATCTATGTACAATTTTTTTTGTAAAGGATAATATGGATGTATATTATTATTTACATTTATATACAATCGTGAAGTAATAATATATATATATATATATATGTGTATATATATATATATAATCACACAATCCAAAGTCGTCCAAACTAATAACAGAATCTTATTAATGACTGAAAACTTTATTTTGAACTTTATTAAACTATACTATTACTTACTATATGTGAGTCTACGAATGACAATATGCATGCGTACGTGTAGAATATATTTTACCATTTTGCTACAGAATCTGGGAGCATTCATCAATGTGGTCTTGAGGCCTTCAATAAAAGCGGATGTGTTGCATCTAATGTTAAAGCCAAAAGTGATCACAATGAACAACTTTGGCGAACTTAACATCTGCGACATTGGGCTTAGCAGCTCCATTGATGTTGTCTCGACCTCTTTCCTCTCTATAACCTTTTCCGTTTTCATAGTTATAGTTTAATGTTGTATCAACCTTTACTTTAGCTACTTGGCATTTATAACATTGCTTGTTTTTTTTTTCTGCGTGTGGGTCTTATTTTTTCTCTTTCATTATTAAATGATGGTTGGTATTAGATTAGGGTTTTGTGGTTGTCATTTTTATGAAGTTTGTTGTGTAGGTCAGAATTTATTCTTTCCATTTTATAATTTTAATTGTTTATTATTCTTTCCATTTTATCATTTTAATTGATATATGCCAAGATCGATACTTTTTGTAGTGATTATAAACTGGTCACTCTTCGAGCTAGATGGGCTCTTTTTGGGCAATGTCATGTCTAAAATAGCAGTAATTAAATATTATCGGTAGATTTGAGAAGGGTTGCGCACATGCTAAAATAATTGAGAATTTAGAGGTTTAACCATCTTTTCGGTTGGAACTTTAGCTTGTTTTTAATTCCATGTCTCTCAAATGTACTCTTTTGCAAAAGGAGGGAAAGCACGAAGATATTTATTTTTTTCATGTAATTTACATTGTCACTATAAGAAAATATTAGGATTTTGAAAAACATTTTCTATTCTAACTATATTTTGATAAGTTTCTAATGATTTTTGAACAAAAAAAATCATCCAAAATTTATCAGAAATAAAATATTATTGAATTTTTGTAAAATATTTCCGACAAAATTATATGTTTTAAGAATTTATTTTCAAAACTATTTGCGATGAATTTCTGATAAAAATATTATATTTGATGGAAATTTATCAAAAAATTTGGGTAAAATTTTGACAAAAAATTATTATTTTTAAAAATATTTTGCAAATCAAACTTCGTAAGAAGTTTATGAGAAAATTAATAATTTTAAATATGTTTAAATATTTTTAATAATTTTCTGATAAAATTATTATTATTATTTAATTATTTTAAATATTTTAGATGCATTTCAAAAAAAAATTATAATTATTATTTTTAGTTTATTTTCACATATTTTTTGACTAGCTTTGCTTTTTAAATGAACTATTTCAACATTTCCATTGAATTTTCAATAACATATTCATTTTTATAAATATTATTTTTAATATATCTAATGAATTTCCAATTAATTTTTAAACATTTGTTGGAAATTTATCAAAAAGTTAAGATTTTTATTTTACTGGTTTTGTTATTTTCGATGAATTTCAACAAAATAGTTTGTCAAAAATATTTCTGATATAAAGACTCTTTCCAACCCAATTTTTGTTCATTCTCTTTCTCTCAATATCTGCAAATACTGTTTTTTTTTTTTTTGCAATACTCTCCAAACACTCTCAATTTATACAATTTTTTTTTCAATTTCTTTTTTAACTTACTTTTATGATTTACTTTTTCTTAAAAATCATTTCTCAGATTAATTTTGAATTAATGTTCTAATATTTTCTTCTAATTTGTAAAGCATCTACAAATTTGGAATTAATTTTACTTTTTTTAATTTTTTTTGTAAAACATTGTAAAAAAGTCATCTGAGATTAATTAATTAATTAACTAATTATTTTTATATTTTTTCGACAACTTTCCAACAATTATTTTTATATTTTTATTATTTTTTATATATTTTTAAGTTTTACAAGAAATTTGCAAATTTTTTTAAATTTTTTTATTGAAATTTCTTGTGAATTTCTGAAAAAATAGATCATCTGAAAATTTCCAACAAATGTGAATTCCTGAGGTCCAAACTCCACCAAATTGTTGTTTATTGAATATTGTTTCGGATAAAATACAATTTTGAAAGTATTGCATCCACGGATCCAAACTATCTTAATTGAGCTTGACGTTATAACCTATAAAATTGAGCTGTAAAAGGCCTTTTGAACTTAATCGAACATGAAATTGTTGCATGTTTATTTGTTTTGTTGTCTCCGAGAGTGATGTACGAAGAAGGGGAGGGGGGGGGAGGGGGGGGGGGGGGGGGGATTTACTCCCACAAGAACGAGTGGAGGTGAATCTCTAGCTGGCAAGACTTGCTTTTACAAGGACGAGTGGAGATGAATCTGTAGCTGGCCCTATGGTCATTATCTAGAAGATCCGGTACAAAGATGCTCAGTGAATGAGGATGTAACCAATCAACTGGCCGTACGACTCTCTTTGATAGGTCAAGTGATGATCGAATGAATGATACTTGTTGACCGAAAGAAGCCACACGATTGGTGGAAGAACAGTGATAACTCTACTTCTAACTTCAAGTGAATCTCACACAAGAAAAAGAAAGCTTTGCACTCTTGTTTCAATCATTTCTCACGCAAAGACGAAAGGGTGCCAGCTGAAGTTTTTTTTTGAAGAAAGTTCGTTTTTTATTGATTTAGAGTAAAACTTGTGTGATACAATACTGCAGGAGAGACTTTATTAAATAGCCCTTCAGCTGTGATTTAGGAGGGTCGAATGAATAAAAAAAAGAAATAATACTTGCGCTTATTACAAACTAGATAAAAGAAAAATAAAAGAACAACTTAATAAACTATTTAAACAAAAAGAAAAACCTGTAAAATAAACAATAAATTCGTGATAATAATGTAAAAGTAAACCAACAAAGTTAGACAACTTTTAAAAAACTCTCTCAGGCCCGAGTATCGAGAAAGATCTTTTCTCTAACAACATCAAACCTCAACAACTTTTAAATTAGTAAGGTTTTTCAAATCTTCTTGCCTTGATAGACACGCCTCCGCGGTTCCACCCCCACTTTCGGATCGGAGGGCCCATCACTAGCACTGGAAACCACCATGGAAGCCATTCTCGGCTCTACAGGCACGACTTCACCTATGATGCAGGAACTGATGAACTTGCAGCTTACCCGGAAAACCTAAGGAGCAACTTTCCTGTTGGCACTTACCAACACTAGCCCTCAAATAAGTAGTTGGTGACTCTATTTACCCTACAGTTGGGGAAACTCTCTTACTTTCATCCTTCCTCTACTCCTTCTCGCTATCACTACATGCCGTAAACAATCGTCTGCTTAACCACCAGCACCTGCATAACCAGCTCAAATGACACACCGTTTCTCGGCAGCTGAAAAAAAGGGAAGTGGATTCCCTCCTCCACTCCAACTGACCGGCGAACACCAATTCAGATCCCAGAAAGTGACAACTCTGCCCTTATTGAGGAAAACCGGCTCACCCTGATAGGCCGAGTGGTGTACTCCCAAGTTTAAAAACTCCACTGGGTTGTAGAATGGCTAACACAGTTCTGGAACCTAGACTCGTCAGTGGTGGGAAGACCCCTAGGTCCAGATCTGTTCAGCTTCAAGTTCGAAACTGAGGAAGCTCTTTCAAACATCCTCCGGAAGTCTCCTTATCACTACAAGAGGTGGATGCTTATCCTTCAAGGATGGGAACCAGTAATCTCCAATGACTCCCCTCGTCTATTCTATATGGGTCAGGATCCTCAGAGTTCCTCTCCACTACTGGCAAGATATAACCTTTCAGTCCATCAGAAAAGCTATCTGACGAGTAGTCGACAAAGATATCCCTTAGGGAAGGTTGAGAATCAAGATAAATGGCCTCAAACCATTGGAGATGAAGCTGCCAATAAGTATTCCATCTGGTGAAGTTCTTTGGGTTACCCTAGAATATGAAAGGCTACAGAAACATTGCTTTTTCTGCTATTCCCTCAAGCATGAGGAAAAAGACTGTCTGAAGAAACCCGCATGACAACTAGAATCAGCTTTAGGGGTGTAAACCAACTTAATACAGTCTCAGCCGTGGATGAAGCCAGAAGGAAGAACCAGAACCGAGATAGAAACCTTCCTCCTAGAGAACCAGTCACGGCTCGAAGTGGAGAAATATGTAGCTATCACCGCAGGGAAGCTCTATCCCAAGGGAGAAATCAAACCATCCGGTCCAGCAGAAGAGGCTCCCCCCCCCCTCCCCCCCCCCCCCCCCCCCCCCCCCCCCCCCCCCCCCCCCAAGAAGATCTAGAGGCCTAGAATCTCGCTTGCAATACCTTTCTCATTGTTATTCTCGCAGGAACACCAACAGGGAATACAACCATCCAGAAGACAGAACCTCTAGTCGAGAGACATTCCACTCATCCTAGAGAAATGTCACCGCTCCGATA